GAAAGAAAGTGGTTTGTACAATGACAAAAGACACAGCGATGGATGTTTGAGAACGAAGAAGCAAGAGAGACTCGGACAGGATGGTGAAGAAGAGGTTGTCTTATATCTCGAGCCAACTCACTCACCCCTGGCCGCCGTTGGCTATCAACCGCTCATGGTATCCCATGCATACGAACCTGACGAGAATTCTCCAGCCCCAGCTCCCTGCTCATTTGGCTTCCTAATTCTGGGCATCGTGGGTCGTTGGCGCGAAAGGGGGCGCTTCGCTCATGTTGTCTGCAGCCAGGGGCCCCGAAAGAAGCTGACTTGGACGACCAGAATCGAAAGGGCGAGGTTTGTTTGAAACATTGGAGCGACCCATACGCAGGATCCAATTCCACCAAACACGGTCCTCGCCGCCGGGGATGGGTCCCTGATCGGGTCACAACTAAAGTACAGTTGACGACATCGACCCCTGGAGGTGCCGCCCACGTTGGGGGCATCACGGTCGAGATGTGGTCGCCAAGCTTGGCTCATGCGCCGATTCCCATATCATCCTGTTCATCTAAAGTTGCCTGGAGAGACGCTCGCCTAGCGGACTCCCCTGCAGACCACAGCTCCTCGGCTGCGTGAGCCTGGCCTCGGTGCCCCGAATCGGTCGCTCATAGATTGCCCTACATCCACCCAGCGACCTCTTTCGAGTTAGCCGCTGGGCGGGTTTCCTCTAACTGCATGCCCGTCAAGGCTTGTCGCGTTTGAGCGTTGGCAAATGTCAATTTCGGGCGACAAGCCGAGTTTGCTTGTCAATCCCCGGCGCCAGTCATCGGTTGCCGGTGGATAAACGTGAAGGAAGAAAAATCGATATATGGCTTTGAGGCCTGTCAATGTTGGTTTCCGTTCATCTGAACAATAAAGACAACCTCCCTTTGCGAAGAATCAACGCCAAGAGACATGTTTCCCCAGATCCAATATGTGTAACTTTCATCTGAAGAGGAAGATCGCACCGCGGCAGTAATGCGCTGAACTCTGTCATGGTACCTGATCGACGCGCCCGTGGTGGTATTTCACCTGAAACATGGGTCAACCAGGGGGGCTCTGCGATGGTGAAAAAAAGCGCTGGCTGTGTGTTCCCTGCCGCAGATCACTTTACACGGGACGAAATTCCCACCAGAAAGAAAAAGGGGGTTCCACAGCTGTGCCGTGCCCACTGCCCACCGCCATCAATCGCCAGCGCTTGGCAATCTGTGGAAAGTTCGGTATCATCCAGAACGTGCCAGTCAGCTTGGGTTGCCATTTGCGAATCTCTCGGCTGTTACAGCCGAGACTTTTCTGCACCTGGATGGCTTGCAATTGGGCACTCTACGTTGCGCGAAAGCAACGTGACGGCCAGAGATTCAACCAGCATGGCGCCTGGTTGGAGGCATTATGTCAGCCCTGTCCAAGAACGATTCGGCGCTTCGCATTTAGAGTGAAAATAAAGAAAATAAAGTGCAGGTGCTAAGTGCCGCCCATCCGAAATATCATAACAGCCTTCGGTAAGAGCTGGGTCAGCCAGCTGTCCGGTGCTCCCATCCCACGTTGATAGGCAACATGCCTGTCGCAGCTCTTTCAGGAGCCGCTAGGGGACTTGGTCAGACTTGGACCCAAGCAGCCGTCCCCTTTTCCCCCCTCCCCTATCACGGAGGGGGGGTTTGAGAAAGACAACGTTGGTCCCATCCGCAATCATCGCTACTATCGGGCTCCATGGATGCAGGGAATAGCCGATGGGATGACCGAGCGAAAGGAAAGATTCCGTCCAGCAAAATCACAGTCTTTCCGACGGTGTCGCAACCGCACCGTCATAGGCTCAGCAACCGATAGCGACCCAGTGTTCAAAAGCTCTGCCGGAACCCACCGATCCTGCCCATATGTCTGTTCCGCGCTCTTCGCATCATAGACCCGAAGACCGCAATGATATGCTTATCGTGGAGATGCGATTCATTCCACGCAGAGGTTAGGCCGTGTGGTTTCAGGGCTATCATCAGGTTGATGAAGCTGTGGATGAGAACTTGACCGCTTGTCTTTTCGTCCTCTTCTCGCGCCAAGCTCCGCTCTTTGACTGGCGACTTGGGGAAAATTAACCAACGATGTTGTAAAAAGATTGCTAGAAAGATTGCTTCACAAGTTCAGTGCTCCTTTGCTGGGGTGCATGTAAAAGAGAAAGACTAGAGAAATAAGCATCTGTCAAGCCCACTTCGTGTTCAGTCTGGAGTTCCTGAAGAAGTCAACGGGATACGCTTAATCGGAAATCGGACCACCAAGCGAGTCTCGGGTCCGCAGCGGAGCCGACATCGATGGCGTTGGACTTCGGGAACGCGGGACGGTGCCAACGGTGAGAATGACGCAGAGACTGTTTTTTGGCCCGCAGTGGTTCGTGTGACGTGTGTCTCTCTCGACTGCCTGGCACACCCGTGCCATCATCAAGATCAAGTCTCTACAATAAAGTACAGGGCAGAAATTGGGCAAAATCGTAATAATTTTATTCTACTGGCTGTCTGGGTATCGTGTATGCTAGACAAAAACCGAATCCAAATATCCAAATGAACTATGACGCTTCATCAATCTTCCGTGCCTCTGCAGATGTGCACCTTGGTCCTCCGTCATAATGGTCGTGTCGATATGGATGCATTTCCCTCAACTTGTAATATACCCGCTGGAAATTGAACATTCATGCTCGTACGGAGCGATCCGCTCGCTCTACTCGTGATCCTTGTCTCCCCCGGCGGCCTGTGGCTGTCCCTTCTCAGCCTCTTCTTTCTTCTCTCCTCCCAGTTTGTACCACGGCCCATGTATCGCACCAGCGCCGACGCCGACCAAGAGCCCGACTGCCGTCGTTGGAATGGCCGCGACGCCGCCGACGACCCCAGTCACGACGGTTCCCACACCAGCACCCAGCCCAACGCCCACTGTGGCACCGATGCCTGCGCCACCCAAGCCACCCTGCCAGACGCCGCTCTGCAGTCTTTGCGCGTCCCGCGACAGCGCCTTGGCTTTGTGGTCGTGCTCAGACGCCTCCGCTAGTATCTTGTTCTTCTCGTCGGCGTCTTCGACGGCATCGCTGCGCTGGCGGGCCTCGTTGGCGGCTTCGGCTTCTCGTTGTGCCTTTTCAAGCTTCTCTGTGGCTTGTGCAAGGATCTGATCCTTGCGGCTTTGCTTTTTTTCTTCGGGCGATGGCGAGGAGGACATTGGACAAGAGGGGGGATGGTGCTCTGAGGTTGGAATGTGAATTTGTTAGGACGGGTCTGGGAATTCTAGAAGTTCGTCTGATTAAGATAGCTCGTAGTACTTTGCCACTCTGGATATCAGAAGAGGAGTCCGCGTTGTTTTAGAAGTCTTTGGTATCGTTAAGGTTTTAGCCACATTTACACCTGATCGCTGACATCACTCGCTTATTAGTGTCTCTTGCCCACCTATGATGTGGCTATGATCCGCCACACAGTAACGACCTTCGATTTTCTTAAATGCATACACTTTCCGATATTGCATGAGACATTTGCTTATCCGCCAACTCGATACGCAACTAATTACGCCTAGGCATGGAAGTCTGCTACGGTTTGCGAGTACTGATGGATGATGTTTCATCTCCATTTGATAAATCACCTTGAATATGCGAATAAACAATCGGTTACGTCTCAAAAAGGAGTGAAAATCGTCAAGGCCTCCTTTGGTTGGTTTTGGGAAGATTGGTTGACATGACCACAAAGCTGAATTGCGACCTTCTGCGATCTGGCTTTGGCGTGTCTGAACTCTTCGATTTGCACTTTACTAAAGGACACGGTCAAATTTAAGTTCAATGAGAAGGAGAATGATTCGGTCAAGCACTTCTTACACTCACATACAGTATACTTTTGCTATGGATTGCCAATTGCCAAGGCTACGCAGGCTTCGTATCGCCAGGAAAAACTGGCGCCTCTCGTTGGCTGGACCCTCACTTGGCAGCACTTGTTGTTGTTGTTGTTGTTGTATTTAACGCCGTGGCGGCAAGGGCGCAGCCGCCCTTGCGGCCGACCTCCCGAGGGGTATATGGCGTGGAGGGCCGCAGGCTCAAGCTATATACTCTACAGTACACGCCTCTTCCTAACGTCCTCCAAATCTTGCCCATAGGCTACTATGTGTTCTATCCGTCCCTAGTTCCCGCTGGTTCCCTGGTTCCGTTATACTCGTCAGTTCCTCTACGAGGGGGGGACTTGGCAGCACACCAACAGTACGTCAGGCTTATTTTTTTTTGCGTTTCGGTTCTCGCGCAAACTTGGTGTAGGTATCCTTGAAAGCAACTGTGAAGAGCTTGTTTCATACGTGAAAAATCGAAATGTAATACGTTTCAAATCTCGTTCCATGGAGAATAGGTTCGCAAGTGGTTTCGTGCTTTTTTTCGTGCTGAAAAAAAAAAAGACAAAAAGAAAAAAGAAAAAAGAAAAACCAACGCCGACTTTGGAGAGAAATACAAGATTTAGAAAAAAGAACGTATCGTATGCGGAGTTTCAAAGGAGGTACTGGAGGAAAAGAATATCCTGGAAGACTGTACAAGCGCTTTGAGTAACAAATCGGCAAGTTGGGGACGAGGCATACCATGTAGACTTATGGAAGACACAGATAAATGAGCTGGTTTAATTCGGTAAGGCGCTTTCATATGGTATTTCTTCACGAATGTTGTGTGACGCAGCATGTGCTTACTTGTGGCTTAGACTGCTCAAAACGCATGATGGCGCTCTACATTCTCGGCTCATTGGGCGTGATCCTCAATTCTGCCTTGCAGCTGAGAATGCCTGCCGGGGTAATCGGCTGTGTTGGCTGTGCATATGCATATTGACCTTCTCAACTTGATTGGGCTCGGTCAAATTCATGTGGACGATGAGGTCTTATCATTGGTTCTGAGCTCCGTTGAATTCCCTCAGTGCAGAGTTCACTCGCCCATATAACATACTGCAGGCCACATCTGGCAGGCATGTCATGACAAACTGTGCTCTAACAAGACAACAAAAATGGCCGAAGTCTTGGGTTTAGTAACCGCCATCGGCGCCATTCTTACGTCCGGCTTTCAAGTTGCGACCGCAATTTCAACCATTGTGGATGATCTTGGGACAGCGGGGGCGCAAGTTCAAGCGATCGCAGTTGAGACGCAAACAATTTTATTGACACTTCGCTCGATCAATCAGCATCTTATCAGAGCTCACCGCGTCACAACCGAGGTCGCAAATATCGTCCAAGATATCATCACGCTATGCAGGAAAGATATTGATGACATCAAAGAGTGCATGGCGCCCTTACTTGGGAAGCGTGCCGAGGAGATACTGCTGAAGCACAAACTGCGCTGGCTTTTTGCCAAGTCCAAAGTTTCAACGAGGCAGGCTTCGCTGAACTCGCTGAAATTGACGTTGGGGCTCTTCCTACAAGCACTTAATCTGATGGAACAAGATCACCTTGAGTTGGTCAACCTTATACGATAATGAAGGGCAATAAGTTTACCAATAGATCAATAGGGACTATATGCAGGTTGTAGTCCGACAACAGATTTCGGAGTCTCAAAACGTCAAGAAGGCGTTCATGGAGGCTGAGAGAAGAGATCAAGCCCTTGAAAAGACGTACGAACCGTCTCAAAGCATCTCATCGCCGAAAATGATTGATCAATCTGGCCCTGCGGCCGAAAAGCTGCCGCAAACTATCCGCACTACTACGGAGGATATTGAGGAAATTGACCGCGACAAATCAGTTAACGGGACAATGGTGAAAGTTCTACATTATCAGTCTGAAGACGGTAGCTCGGATGGAGAGGGCTTCGACCTTCTGCCGAGTCATCAGTCGCGGCTAGACCAGACAAATTCGGCCATCAGCCTTATCGATGACATTTCTGACGACCAATTCATGGTTATCGCTGACCATATGCGCTTACAAAAGACCGTTTCGAGCTTTGCACTGGTTGTCATAAACCAGAGACAAGAGACAGGACCAGATGATGCGGTGGAAGATACCCCCACTGTTGTACCTCCATCGGATAATCTTCCTGGAGCCTGGACGACATTTGATTCAAGCAGAAATGCTCAGCAGACACCTGGAGCGCGTCGTAGTGCAGCAGGACGCTACACGCCACAGTCTGAGAGTAGTGAATGGGAGCCTAGATACCCAGAAAACACGGCTCCAGAATATCCACCTCCGCACTCAGGTCCCAGGCGCGGTGGCTCGGACAACCCGCATTTTGGCTCTTACCCCCCTTACCCAAGGTCGACTCCATCTCCCTCCGAATTCCAATTTCCCATGCCTGACACAGAAAAGTTGAGATTGCAGGAGGAGTTGGCATTGTTACGCAATGAACTAGCAAAACGTGAAGAGGAGGAAAAAGCAAGAGAAGAGATGATAAAGAGGCGGGAATTGGAGGAGAGTATTAGAAAAGACGCCGAAACCGCCATCGCAGGACAAATGGAAGCATTGCGGGAGGCTCAGGAAGATGCAAGAACGGAGCTAGAGAAAGTCAAGCGTGAAGCTGAGCAGGGTGTCAGAGATGCGGTGGAGGCTGAGAGAAATGCAGAAGAACAAAGACAGAAGATTTACCAAGAGGCGACGATTCGTGCTGAAAGGGAGGCCAAACAAAAATTCGAGGCAGAACTAAAGGCTGTAGCAGACGTACAAGAAGCCAAACAAAAGTACGAGGAAGAAATGAGGGTCAAGGAAAAGGACGAACAGGAACTAAGGGCTGCAACGGAAGCAAATAGCCAAAGCAGTTTTATGAAGCTCTTTCGCCGAAAGAAAGTCGACCACCAAGGAAATCGGTAGAATAGAACTGGTTAGAGATGAATAGGACGTCATGAGAAGAGCGCCACTTGCAGATACGAATAGGAGCTTTTTACTTTGAAACCCCTTATGTTTGGCTAAGGTCCATCTCTGCCGCATCTACAGCGATGTTTCTAGCAATCTGGTAGACATGATAGACTTGTTCTTAGCTCCAAGTTAATAGGAGCTCGTCCTGCCCACGGACCGGGGCCGGTCCGTGTCCGGTGTGGGGCAAAGACGGGGCCCGACAACCGAGAGGGCCGGCAAATGCATCCCCGGGCCGTGTCTCCACGGCATATTCTGCTAGCCGATGAGCGGGAGCGACTTGCTAAAACATCACTTTTGAGCGAAACGACGTTTTGTATCCCCACAACAAACCCTTGGCATCGCAATTAGCAATGATTCGTCTCCAACATCCTTTTGACTGTGGGTCTCCCAGGAAGCACTACGGAAACATGATTTGCAGGGGGTATTCAGCGGTCTGGCTGACCAAGTCCTGAACTAAGACAACTTCGACTGAGAAATTCTGGCTTCCTTTAATCCGACAAACTCTGTCAGCTTGCTGCTCGAGCAGTTGGGTCATGAGGATCTTAAAGATACGGAAATAGCGCCCGGAAACAGACTGTGTCGGGCTTTTTCCTTTTCCCCGGATTTTGTTAATGCACGTTGCCGTAATCCCCCCGCACTCACCCCCACCGATGCTGACATGGTGATGGCATCGGCACCCTCTTATGTATCTCGTTTTGAATCTGGTCATTTTCTACGGAGTCATGAACAGTTCCAAATCACTGCTGAATCTAACACAAGATCTCTGTCAACATGCCAGATTCAAGATGAAAGTAACCCAACATTGATAGTCTTGGAGAATCTCCAAGAAGCAGTTCAGCCCAAGCAAGCTCCCTTGCTTGCTCGACCCCGCGAATTCAAGTGCGGAGAAGCAGGCAAACTAGCAGCGTGCCACCCGCCCTGCGTTAATGCACCCGCCCCCCAATCTGGGGTAATTCGAGCCGCCAGCGGGTCCCCCGAACTGCCCGTATCAATGCATACTTTCAAGCTATTCGAGCACGACGCATCCTTTCCTCGTAGGCGTCTCCAACACGGCCGCTTTTGTGATTTGCCCGGGACATTCCCCGCGAGACCCGCGTCGTGGTTTTGGAACTCCCGCGCGCGCCCGCCCAAACGGAGGGCAGCTGCTTGCGCACTGTCATCTGCAGCTGAGAGACAGGTTGAGACAGAACCCTGCGCGGGGGAACAGACGGGAACCTCTAGTTTCCAACCTTGGTAGCTCCGCGGCCAACGAAACTCCACAGATCGGGGAAACTTGTTGAGTCGGACAGGGCGGACACCCGCATCTTTTGGCGCGAATTCGCACACAGAGCTGCTTGTCTACGGGCATACAGCAGCACTGAGGCCGATCTATCCCCGGACGAACCCCTCATCCTACGTGTCGCGATGAACCCCGTCAGGTGATGTCACGACTCAGCCTCCGGCGCGGAGGAACGGAAAGTTCTCTCTCTCTTCTTCGTGAGGGGTAGCATTGTTCATAAATGTTGCTGCTGGACCTCCAAGGTTGACGATAGCTTCGATTATCCCAGGCCCGGACTTCTCTTTCGTACGCACGCACGACTAGATCGTCCTTCACACACGCACGCACCATGGCTGGAGCATTTCCTCACAATGATCGGATCGAGCCCGGCTCGGTAAACCTTCCCGCCCGCCCGTATCCCCCATCAGTTCGCTCGACATCGGTTGATGCGGGGAAGGTGGCGGCGGACACCATCACCGCCTTCAACGCCGCGCTGCGATCTAAGAACTACAAGGCGCTCGCGAACCTGTTTGTCTCAGACGGCTACTGGCGCGACCACCTCTGTTTATCCTGGGACCTACGCACTCTCAAGGGGAGGGAAAAGATCCAAAAGCTGTTGAGCGATCGTTGTCGTCTTACCGAGGTTGCCGTCGACACATCCACCGAATACCGAGCTCCCCACCTGGCTGCCCTCGACGCTCACGGCAAGGTCCAATGTCTGCAGTTCTTCATCAATGTGAACACCCAAGTAGGCCCTGGCCAGGGTGTCGTTCGTATGATTGAGTCTGACGGCAAGTGGGAGATTCTCAGCTTCTTCACCGCCCTCAGAGAAATCAAGGGCCATGAGGAGCCTCTCCGGCACCGCCGTGAGAAGGGCGTTGAGCATGTCGGTATCCGAGACGGGAAGAATTGGAAGGAAAAGAGAGAAGACACGGTCAACTACACCGACACTGAGCCCACCGTTGTCATCATTGGTGAGTAGGCCTATACCTCTTTGCGGCGAGGAGATTGCTCACACACCCAAACAGGTGGAGGTCAAGCTGGGTTGACTGTTGCTGCTCGGTTGAAGATGCTCAATGTAAATGCATTGGTGGTCGATAAGCACGGTCGGGTTGGTGATAGCTGGCGCAAGAGGTATGAAAGCCACCACATCAGGGCTGAATATAGCTGACTTTCGTGAACTACAGATACCATCAGCTCGTTCTCCACGATCCTGTCTGGTACGACCACCTACCATACATCAGCTTCCCAGCAAACTGGCCCATCTTCACTCCGAAAGATAAGATCGCCGAGTTCTTCGAGTCCTACGCCAATCTTCTCGAATTGAACGTATGGACCTCGACGACAATGACCAAGTCATCATGGGATGACTCCAAAAAGCAGTGGACCCTGACCCTCGACCGCCAAAAGGCAGATGGCACGAAAGAGACTCGAGTCCTGCACCCGAGACATGTCATCCAGGCAACGGGTCACTCTGGGAAGATGTTCTTCCCCGACATCAAGGGGATGAGCAACTTCAAGGGCGACCGGTTGTGCCACAGCTCCGAGTTCTCCGGCGCGAAGCCCAACTCCAAGGGCAAGAAGGCCGTGGTTGTCGGATCATGCAACTCAGGCCACGATATCGCGCAGGACTTCTACGAGAATGGCTACGACGTGACGATGGTGCAGCGCAGCTCGACCTGTGTCGTCTCTTCAGCCTCCATCACAGAAATCGGCCTCAAGGGCCTCTACGACGAAGACTCACCACCAGTCGACGACGCAGACCTCTGGCTATGGAGCTTACCAGCCGAACTATTCAAGTCTCTCCAGATCGGAACGACAGAGCTGCAAAACGCCAACGACGCCAAGCTCCTCCAAGGCCTGCAGAAGGTCGGCTTCCAGCTCGACATGGGCCCCGGCGGCGGGGGCTTCTTCGTGAAATACTTCCAGCGGGGCGGTGGGTATTACATTGACGTCGGATGCAGCCAGCTCATCATCGACGGCGAGATCAAGATCAAGCAAGGGCAGGAGATCACGGAGATTCTGCCTCGCGGGTTGCGGTTCGCCGACGGCTCCGAGCTCGAGGCCGACGAGATCATCTTCGCGACCGGGTACCAGAACATGAGGACCGAGGCGCGCAACATCTTTGGCGACGAGGTCGCCGACAGGATCGGTGACGTCTGGGGCTTCGACGAGGAGGGCGAGTTCAGGACCATGTGGCGGCGGAGCGGGCACCCCGGATTCTGGTTCATGGGGGGTAATCTCGCCATCTGCCGGTACTTCTCTAAGATTTTGGCATTGCAGATCAAGGCCGTTGAAGAAGGCATCGACCAGGCTGGGCAGCCCGACCCCTCGCCCAGGCTCTAGGTTTTGATACCCGATGGAGCTTGCGTAGGGTGTTGTGATTAGATGCGGGCGCAGAAGATGTAATTATTCCCTGTCAGGCAGATTCAATGGATGTTTTTCTCAAAGCTCACATGACCACTAGCTCTCTGTCGGTGAGCCTTCATGCGGGACCTTGATATCATCTCAACCCCTCAGTGCAGGCTCGGATCTACGGCGGGAATGGCGAGTCGAAATGAGTTCCCGCTCTTCGTGCTAGACATGCCCAAAGACACGTGAATTTCTGCCCCCAATTCGCGATTCCACGTCGCCATCACCAAGTGGGCACTACAGCGGCCGCATCGTCAGCTTCAGGAAACTGATCAGCGCCGAAAGACGGATTGGGCCAAGTGAAGACACGGTGAAATTGCACGACTCTCATAAAAAACCCTCTTGGTTCCAGCAACGCAGAGCTTAAGACCCAGCCTTATGCCCATCTGTTGATCGCGTCCCTGGCCGATGTAACGTGAGCGTCTCACGTCCACTCATTCCGATCGCCGGCACGGTGCCCTCGTGGCCCTCACAACAGGCCTGACTGCCACCCACAAGGTTCTCCATCCTCCAACACAAATCTTCTTTTGCAACCCGGGAATATCGGAGGCCTGAAAAGGGTCTTTTAACCTCTGTGGATCTGCTCAATTGCGCAGGCAGCCTGGGCTATTTTGCCCTGTTCGCCATGAGTGATGGCAACCATCGGCACCTACCGGCCGATTCCCTATCCACCCTGCGGGCAGAAGATTTTCGTCGCAATGCCGATCACTAGGAGAATATTGGGAACTATTGAAGCTTCTAAGGATTTAGTTTTATCTCTCGTCCTCTGGCTTGCGAATTTTGGTTCTCTCCGGTGAATTTAATGGGGATTTTTGCATCATCAGCAAAGCGCGCGGTGGTTCCGAGGTGGGCTGATCGTCACTGTCAGACTGTCAGTTGACATTTAGCGGCTGCGATCATCGACTCTTTCGCACTGACAACGCCACAAATCTGTTCTCTACTGCGCCGGCTCCTTCGTCGGCTCGCCGGAGCACTGGAAAGAACTCTTCAAAGCCGTACGTTCTTCTTCAGCCGTTGGAACTAAAATGAGTCCCTTTTGTAACCGGTTTTCAGGAGCATCGGAACAGTGGGCCGTGTTCCAACACGAGGCAATAAGCCCGCTGCGAAAAAAGCAATGTTCAGTGGTTCACGGAGGTCGCGCAATGTCTCAACGAGAGGTTTTCCAGAAGGAGAGAATAGAGCGAAATGTATGCACATGCGCCGCAGACAAGGATCGGAATCCGCGCAGATTCTGCGACGCGGGACCATATCCATAGTAAGCACCTCCACCACACGCCGAGGTCGC